ATAGAAAAGAACGACAAACACAAAAATAAATATTCCAACATAGAAGGAAAAGTCAACGGAAGATAACCACCATTGAGAAGAGAGCAAAAAAAAAGAAAAGTGAACATATTAATTTTGTCACTCACTCAGCAGTAATGATTCATTGTAACATTATAAAAAAAGCCATATCAACTATCGCAGAGCTCATTTCGTTATGATTGCCAAAGCAGATCGAGATTTAATGATTTAACTACATTTAAACGCACACCGATTCATTATTGTAGTTAATTTTAATTTGTTTTATATTCATATAGGATTCTTAACAAAGGAAAAAGCAAGTAGTGCTCACAGAGCAACAACGTACTTTTCCAAAGTACCAATCGATGCCGAATGGAATGCTGAACAATTAGTTGCCTTCAGCAACAAATTAGCCAAGCTTAATGTGTCACTGATGGCTTATCAAGCATCTTTCACATCAGAAGCAAGTGTTACCACTACCGAAACAGAAGATGAAGAAAGTATGGATGCTTCACCTCCTCGTGAGGATGTTCCATCTGCAATGTCTCCACCACCAGTGTCAGCACGTGATCCGATTCTAGCTACTGTTTCATTATATGCAAATGTTGGATTTGAATTACCACCACCAACAACGAACCGAAACTGCAGCAAGTAACGTTTTCTTAACACCAGACAAAATAACAACAGAGCATTTTACAAAACAACATACATTTCAAGATAAAAATAAAAACAGAATCGAACCAATCCAAAAACCAACATCACCATACACATCACCAAGAAGGAAAATTCTTCCATCACAAGAATATCAATATCACAATATTTAGCCATTCTACATTCATCATTTTGACAACTGACTCTTCTTCGTATAACACTAAAAGAATTTTTGCTCATTTAATTTTATTGACACAATTAGTTTTCTCTAACACAAACATCAAAAATCATACATCAATAAATTTCCAAGTTGTGTATGTGAAAATTGTTCACAACTGAACAACTTCCTAGAAAACTCTTGAAAGTTGAAAGATTAAACTTCAAAACTCACTTGAAAGTTGAAAGTTGAAAGTTGAAATCTGAATTCTATTGAAATTTCAGTTGAAACTTGAAATTTCAATTGAATTCAAGTTTCAAGTTTGACACTACTGGTTCGTTGACATAACGGTTTAGTTGAAGAAAGTTTGTTTCATCAGTCTTACAAAGCATGTTTAAATCGTCTAAGTTGGCACGACTAAGAACACATTCGACAATATCTGAGCCTACATGAGCGATCGTACTTGCTGTTGCCAAAATACCTCCACCAACGAAAGCCGTGAGAGAAAGACCGGCAGTTGGTACGGCCAACAAGACACTTCCCAAAGCGATTAAACCACCAAAAATGCCA